CATATTTTAGCACTGTCTCTCTTCATCCACATCACCACCACACTGAGGAAATCATTCAAAAAGTTCCATTCTTAAGCTCGCTGTTTTCTTCTGGTGTTCATTCAATAATGCAGGGATTGGAGCCTTCCTTCAGCTCAGTGAGCACAGCTGTGAAAGAGCCCGTGGCAAACATATTAAACCACTAAAGCTGGCACCATGCCAATAGACAATTGGACAGATTTGGGGTTGCGGAGGCATTCCCTGAACCCATTAACTGCCAAAATAATCCTGATATGTCACCCCAAATGTGATTAAAATATATTTACAAATGAAAGTGTGAAAGGAAAAGCAATGCAGTATTGTTCAGATACCCACAACTGCCAATGAGGAAATGCTAACTCGGAAGCGTCAACAGCATGTTAGCTTGTAGCTATAGCTCGCACTATCCCTGTTTTAAACTAACAATAAAATACATTCAAATTTCTATCTGGCACTGAAACTTGTATAAGCCTTGCTTATTCTGTCTTCCTAGCCACAACTTTCCCCGTTTTAGTTGTTGTTCTCTTTTTTGGCACAGAACGTGCATGGCAAACAAAAAAAAGCAGCAAGCTAACGACGACGGTCTGCCACAAAGTTTTTCAGAAGTCATGTCTGATCATGAGGGGTTCTGTGATGACAGCTGTGAAAGAGCCCGTAGCAAACTAGCCTATATTAAACCATTAATGCTGGTCCCATAGCAATAGACCATTGGACAAATTTGGGGTAGGTTCCAGGCTGTTCTGAACTTCTGAACCCATTAACTGCCAAAATAATCCTGTAATATCTCCCCAAATGTGATTATATCTATATAATATATTAACAACTCAATGAAATATTAAACAGAAAACCGCAACTGCTAATGAGAACAACTCGGAAGCATCAACAGCATGTTAGCTTGTAGCTATAGCTCGCAATAGCCCTGTTTACCAATAAATGCTACGTGTGTAAGCCTTGTTAAATCTGTATTCCCAGACAAAACATTTCCCACTTTTCCTGTTTTTTGGCGCAAAACGCACAGAAATGCAGCAAACTAACGACGACGGTCAACCACAATATCTTTCTGAAGTCACGTGCTAGATTTGCCATTTTGGTATGTAACAATATTAATAAAAAAAACACTATTGTCCACCCTGAAAATGTAGTTTACCACACTATGTTAGATTTTCTGACCAGGTTCTAGCATGCCGATGCTCAGACGCATTTCATGAATTAGCTAATCCATGGTAGGAGAAAATGGCAGGTTAAGGTTGATGTGTATAATTTAATACATTAGTCATATCAGCTTTACAAAGCGTGACAGGCTCATGGCTTTTTATCCGTCTGTGTTGTTTTGTAGTTTTTTCGGCTCTCTAGTGGCTAAAAATCATTGAATGCTGCTTTAACCTAATTATGCCATAATATCTCCTGCTGACTTAAATGTGGACTCACTAAAGCATGTCAGAGCACCGAGTCACATGACTTCTTTTAGCGTTAAAGAGCTTTGACCATGACATTTCCATTAAAGCCTCTCATTCACAATACCCACAAAGTAATGAGAGGATCCAAATGTTATGGAACTCAGTGAGGTAAAAACAGCTTGATGGAAAGGAGGGAAAATCTGAATGAGCAGAAATTAAGTGGGATGAAATCAAGAAGTAAGAAGGGCAGCAGAGTGGGGGTGGGGGTGTGTCGATTATAGGGTGAGAAAGAAGCAGTGAAGACGGGCAAATGAAAGCCACAAAATGAAGGAAGAAAAGGGAGACCAAGATGGCGAAGGGAGAACAAGAGAGGAGGAGGAGGGACGAAAGGATGAAGGGATGGATGATGAAGGGGTGGGGTGTGAGGGTTCAGTGCAGGAGGGTGGTTTTGGGTGACAGGCCTCATTGAATAGACCTCTATTCTCCCCTCTGCTGGCTTCTCTTCTCATGCAAAGCAGGCCTGTTCAGCCTCCCAGCCATCCGTCACACAACAGAAAGACCATGGCAGGCCCTTTACGAGCCTCACACTCGCATAATCCTCCCCCCTACCATCTCTCAACCCCACAATCCAGCACCCAACAGGGGGTGGAGTGGGTAACAGGAGTGTGCGTGTTCGTGTGTGTGTGTGCGCCCGTGTGTTGGGCAGTTGGGGGATGGGCACCGGGGGGTGTCTTCGCCAAGAAGGGCCACCTAGGCTGAGTGTGGGACAAAAAAAAAAAAAGCAGAGACGTAACATGTTTTGAGGCTGCATGGACGTCGTATTGGGACACCGGGGAGGTTAGGAGGGGTTAACCTGCCTGGGACTGTGTGTGTGTGTGTGTGTGTGTGTGTGTGTGTGTGTGTGTGTGTGTGTGTGTGTGTGTGTGTGTGTGTGTGTGTGGGGAGCTACAAGTTAATGACAGCTGGAGAGAGAGCAGTTTTTATTAGTATTATTCGTGCTGATGCAGGACGCATATTCAGAACTGTGCATGACAATGCTGCATACATACAGAGGACTGGATGTTTGTATGTGCATCTCTGTGGTGTGTGTGTGTGTGTGTGTGTGTGTGTGTGTGTGTGTGTGTGTATGACATTAAGCCTGTCCTCACTACTTCAGAACTGTTTAAAGGTAAGTCATTGGTTTTAGGGTTAAGGTTAGACTTATGTTTAGGTTGGGGTTAGACACGTTGTGACAGTTAGCGTTCTGGACTAGGGAATGCGTCACATATAATTAAAGACAATTAAAAGACAAATGTGTGTGTCTTGTGTCCTGTTGTGCTACATCCTATAGAGTTGTGCTTTCAAGCTGTGTAAAGATGACACTTAGTTGGTGACTTCAGTATTTTTCAACATGGGCTTTATTTTCTAAATGTTTTGGGCTTTAAAATGCTAAATATTAAATAAAAAGTGTTCCAGTTAAGTGACGGCACTGTAATAAATGTAATCACTTTTATTCGATGTGCATTAATGCTGTGGTGTTGACCAGATATATAAAATATTACAGAACTCAATACTGGAAAAACTTTAAATATTCACCATAAGTCAGTTAGACACAAAAACATGGAAAATAGGGTCCAAGTTAAATAATTTGTAAACTTTACCAGACTCACATAGTCTTGTTTGAAAAGATACTTTGTTGAACCTGCTGCTGGTGTTCAGTTCTCTTTAAAATAAAAACACAATACATAAAAATTGCAAAAGACAGAAATTATGTTTATTCTCTATAACATCTTACTGACTTGCTCGATTCATGGCAGAGCTGAGTGTTTGGAGTTTTCTTCCACAGCCTGGCCAGATAAAATATCTTTGAGGAGGGAAATTAGTGCATTTTTACTCTTACTTTATTTTTTCTGATCACCTTCACACAAATCCTATAATTTGTAACAATTAGGAACGAGGAACTGCAAAGGAAATACAGAGTGAAAGTGACAACACCCACTCAGTCAAAGAAGTACTTCCTGCTGTGAGGCAACAGCAACATGACAACTATATGTACTATAATAAAGGAAGGACAGTAGATTTTGACCTGGGAATTGTCTGATATGGATGTCATTCCTGAGATCCTGGGCTTAACACACATGTATATATATTTTAGACAAGTTTTCTCCAGCATACTCTAATACCCCCCTGCTGTACTGTAACTACCGCTCAGCCTAAGGCTACAGATAAATCATTGAACCACTTAAACAAATTCATGAATTCTGAGTGCATCTGGGACTGACATAAAGCAGTCAGGCCTTTGACAGAGTGGGTGGCCCTCACATTCACACCCTGGAGGGCCCCAGCACAACTACAGTCTGTGTACTGTGCAGCTCCACTGCGGCACATTAACCATTGCTCAAGGGCACTGCAGTGGTGGTAATGAGGGAGATGCAAGCGCTGTTCTATTGAAATTTATCCTGTCATTTGGGAAATTGAACAAGTGGCCCTCTTAAATGTTTATTCAAAAAAGGACCCCTTAAATATAGATACCCCATTAACATTGTCCCTAGAACTATGTTGTAACACTTCTGTAGTCTTAGTTATGTAAAAGTGATGTGTTTTTAAACAGGTTATGCATACAATGCATAATTTCAAAAATAGAAATAGTATGTGCTTATCAAAGCATACACACATATGAGAAGGGAAGATTGCATGTTATAAAATCACAGATTCCTATGTATGATATATAAAATAATGTACAATAACTTTGCTTATTTGAACCACTTTTTCCTGGGTCTAATACAAATGATGTATTAACCAGTGACAGATGGACACCTGAGCCAATATACCTTGTTAATATAATCACATGATATATTTTGTTGGATTATATCTATGTTACATGTGTGATCCTCAACACTGACACACACAGCATCTATGCCCGATAAGAGCTCTCCGCACAGGACGTGATGCGGTGTATCTGAGTGTAATGTGAGGGCAATGTCTCCCTCTAGTGGCGGAAACGTTTGTTACACCTGAGACCTAGAGTCCATGTTTATTTTTCTCGTCCAGCTTTCAGGACTAGGATAGCATTTTCTTTATAATACTATCGGTTTTAAATACTGTTATAGCCACTTGTAGGAAAATCTTGAATATGAAAAAGGAAACATGCAGCCATTCATGTAATGAAGCGCATTGGTACTTATGGTTTAAACTTTAACGCTTCAATATTGGGAAAGTATTCCATGGTTGTGTGCACAATGGGGTCACGGTTATCAGTAAAAGGATGCGTCACGCCTCTTAAACTAAATTATTCTCGTGATTAAGGCTCGAAATTACGGCTCCAGTTTTATGGTATTAACATATTTTTTCTGGTGGGTTATTTGTGTTAAATTTCCCCGTTATGGAAAACTTTTTATCAGTTTAATACGTTTTTGGGACAGATTTTTTAGATATATACCCTGTTATCAATGTTCAATTGGGCATAAAATCGATTGAGTTTGTATACCGTATAAAACTTTAGAAGGTCGTTGTGACTTCAGTCGAACAGCTGTACAGATCCCAGTGAGGTTACAGGGAATGTTTTACTTTATTTATACACGTGACTAAAAGGATAAGACACTGATATACAATTAAATGTTTATTGCGGAAAGACAACCAGTATTGACATGCTAAAATGTTTTAAATACCAGGATGAAAACTACTGCAAACACTGGTTCGATGCAGCTTATAATGGTAGAGCAATAAAGTTCACGATATAAATAATATTTCCGCGGTGCCTGAGGCCAACATTTGGCATATTAACTGTGCAGGAAAAAAGCATATCAAACTAAAACCTCAGTTTTAGCGCAGGAAGTTGGGACCAAACCTCCAGACCTCTCAGCAGCCAATCAGCGACAGCTTCGCAGCACAGGTGGGCGGGGCTCTAAAAACCAGTGATTCGGCTGTCATCTTAGTGTATATTCATTAAATACTAGCCTTTCCACAAAGGGTTTGGCCATATCAGCTTTCATGCTATTCAACAATGCAGAGGCCAGTTTACACTGATAGAGGAGAAACCTTTATTTTTTTAAAGACCATTAAAATAAATACTATACAGAATCCAATGTAGAAAACTTGATACCGGTTCGGTCTCAAAAGGTTAACAATTCCGTAAATTCATTTTAAAAAATAGCACTGACTACACACCTCAAAACATGACGGTTCTCCTACACACCAAACCCCATGATGACAGGCATTTTAATGAGCGCTTAGGGGGGNNGGGGGGGGGGGGTCTCTATATACTTCATCTGTAGTTTGGTCCTTTCATATCAGCTCAGACTGCACCCCTCCCCAAACATTTTGGCGAGGGAGGTTACAAAAACACTCCGCCACCATATCAGAATAACGTCAAAAAAAAATCAAGTGTCAAAAAATAAAATCTAAATGAACAATAACTCAAAGATGAATATCGAACGCGCTTGTCAGGGTCGAGAGGCAAAGTCCCCACAGCACTCACCGTTGTTTTTGCCTCCAAACGTCTGATGCCACCAGTCTTCAACTGAATGCTACTTGCCCAAATGACTACAAGTCAAGCAGTTTGTACAATAGCAATTAAAATATATATGTGAAACAGCAGTAAAGGATCGAAACGGTAAACCACTCAATCATGTTGGATTTTACTATATAGGTCTTTTTATTGAATATGCCCCGTGTACTCTAGCCCCAAAACCTTTTCTTAACATGATCATGGATACGAGTAAAAGGCGCTTTTCAGTACACCGAAGGTTGTTTAAATACTGATCTGGTCAAATGCAGCACTTCCCATTCCATTAAGATCATTTTTGTGTTAAGTCCAAACTGAACTGCAGCCTAACCTAACGTCACCAGGCAGTGCAGACCTGGTGACGGTGCGAGGTGCAAATCACAGCCATATTTACCAAAAGTGTCGATGACTGTCAGAATGTTATCAATTGAGCCGGGTTGTTATTAATGTTAAGATTTTTCTAACAGCAAGAGCCAAAATACTTTTGATCAGCAACTTGGTTAGGAGTTTTAATGTGCTTTTGGAAACGCGGTTATGTTTTTGCATGTCTGGGACCCGGTTACAAACTGATTTGGATTAGTCCTCAGTTTGCAAAAATATATTTTATTCAATGCTTTAAGGTTTATACGCGGAACTAGCTGCAGAAAAGAATTGAGGTGCCAATATTAGGTAATGGACTATGGCAAGCAGATGAGGCAGGTCAGTAATTCATCCTTCCAAAACGACCGATCACTTTTTCAAAGGTTAGGAAGGAATAATGGCCACATTCTTCCTTTCCTTAGAATGTAGAGGGTAAAGTCATTGTGGAATTTAGCAAAAGGAAGTTCTCAGAATTCAGATCGTATAAGAAACAAGGTTTGACTGCTAAAATAAGTGGAGAGGGGGTGGCAAAGGGCGCGTGGAGTAGTCTAGATAAGGTCGGCCACATTCATGGGCATCTCCTCGACGGTGGTGTTGTAGAATGTCTCAATGTCCCTCAGGGTTCGCTTGTCGTCCTCAGTCACCATGTTGATGGCTACACCCTTTCTGCCAAAACGACCACCGCGACCAATCCTGAATAGAAAATAATAATAAGATCAGTTTAATTGAAACAATACAAGAGCATGGGGCTGATCTAAACAGTAAAAAAAAGTGCATTTGAAAGACCCATGTCAATGTTATGGTGTTATTTAATGAGCACTGCTTGTTCCTTCTCACCTGTGGATGTAGTTCTCCCTGTTGGTCGGCAGGTCGTAGTTGATGACTAGGGACACCTGCTGAACATCAATACCTCTGGCCTGAGGAGAAACATAGTGAACATTAATTACAAGCTATAGACAAAAGGAGTAGACATGACTGCGGTCAAGGGCCAACTTTACACTGTATACAAATCACATCTTTTGGTAGAGGTTAAAAAAGTATTGCTTTAACTGAACTACTGCCAGGTAAACACATGTGTTCAATAATTAGGTGTACAAAATGATTAGACATACAATCTAAACATTGAAAGACAAGTAGGGAGTGTATTCTGCCAATTAGTTGTGAGTCAAGGACTAGAGCCCAGCTACAGTGGAGGGCAGAAAGCTTCTCTACCAAGGAACATTCAGTCCCACTCCATCACTGCAGATGGGAGGAGAGGGAACCCTGGACAGCACAGAACTCTACTTTAAAGGAAACCTGACACTGTCTCTGGTAAATTACAGAAAAAATTCAAAGCTCTCACCTGTGTGCTGCTTGCCAGTTTCTGGAAAATCTCATAGATCTGGTCCTTGAACCCTCTACTAAGCATCTCGTCGGCCTCATCCAGAACAAACATTTTGATGTACTTGGCAGCTGCAAGGAAATGCAAATTAAATAAATAAACCAGAATGAACACGTTGTATGTGGTATTATTTGAATGTGTCAGGTCTGATGCAAGAAAACATGCGGGATGGGTTTGATTAGTCAAAAACAACAGGAGCTGTATTCAGAAGTGAAGTATGATCATGTCTCTGAATCTCTGCTGTGCCGAGGGCTTAGGCCAGCAAAACGCCAACCTGAGCCACAGCACAGCAGGAGGAAATAGAGTCAGCTGACACGCATGGGTTTCATCATTATACAGCAGGAATTCTGATAAAAACCAATTGATCTTCCACCTTTTAATTAATTTAAGCATATGCGACTGCAGTTGACCGTCTAAGGACAGGTGTCAACATGCTAAAATTTCAGTAAAATAAAGACAGATCAGGACCTTAACACAATTGTTTCCTGTATGACTTACAGAGGTTTTTGCGACTCAACATGTCGAAGACGCGGCCGGGGGTTCCCACCACAATGTGAGGGGCTTCAGCTTGCAGTTTCTGCACTTCATTGCGAATGTTGGTCCCTCCGATACAAGCGTAGCAACTGGCTCCCATGTAGTCGCCCAAGGCCAGAACCACCTTCTGGATCTAAATAAGGGGAAATAAAGTATTTTAATGGCCATAAAATGAATAGTAAATTTAAATAAATGTCAACAATGGTGTCATAGGCAGTATGCTGGATGGAGGTAAAACTAGTTTTATATTTGCCACGGAAGTACATTCAAAGATATTTAGGTTGAAGACCAAAACCCAGATTATTTTCCAGGTAAGGCTATGTATAATGACTGTAATATGTATCCTGTATACATTATTGTGCAATGTTTTGAGAAGGTCCCGATGAAGTAAATGTCATTAATTGTTATAGTTGGCATCTGGTGCTTAGTGCTGTAACAGCAGGGCATTTCATTTTAAACCAAAAACACATAGCTTCAGTGACTTCAGGTACAAGTGCTATTAGTTCCTTCTTTTAGGACCCTCATGGCAGTTTAGTCATGCATATCTATTTGTTTACACTAGCTGATGACTCTTTTGAGCGTGATGGCTGCTGTATTCAGAAGTGAAGTAAGATCATGTCTCTGGATCCCTGCTGCATTGAGCACTCAGGCCAACAAAACGCCAACCTGAGTTACAATACAGCATGAGGAAACAGAGTCAGCTGACACGCATGGTTATCATCATTATACAGCAGGTCTTCTGAGTGCTTGTAGGTGCCACCAAGTGTTACGTTTGAGCTTTTTTTAGCTAAATGTAACTGTGTGCAAGCTTACCTGCTGAGCCAGCTCCCTGGTGGGAGCCAGGACCAGAGCCTGAGTGCCTTTCAGCTCCACATCAATCTGCTGGAGGATGGAGATGGCAAAGGTGGCAGTCTTCCCAGTGCCAGATTGGGCCTGAGCGATCACATCGTAACCTTAAAACAAAAATATATCAAACCACTGTTGTGTACACACTAAAAAACAACTTTTAAAATGACTAACTTAGACAAACCCTTTAGTTAGAAACTAATGGATGCAAATATAAAGTTATACAGACTTTGGCACAAGTGAAGAATTTCCCTTTTTTGAATGAGATGATGGAACAATATCCGCTACGGCTGTCTAACATTACTGACAGCCGGCAAAAAAAACACACCGCTAAGAAGCCGGAATATTTTTTCTAGACTGGAAAGTCAGAGTACACAGGCCTAATGTTTATAAAAGAAAGAAACATTGAAAATGTTGACCAAGGAAAGAAAAAGCCTTACTTACCCTTGATACAAGGCATAATGGCTCTCTGCTGGATAGCAGAGGGCTTCTCAAAACCATAGGCATAGATTCCTCTGAGGAGAGCCTCACGCAGAGCCATCTCATCGAAACTGTCCGTGATCTCGGTCCAGTTGCTCTGGAAGGGATAAGACAAACACAATATTAATCATGGAGTCAAGTGTACTGAACATGAAAAAGGGTTTGTACATGCACCTAGATGGTAGTTTCAGCGTGTTAAAGTCTTATAGTGGCCTATTAGTGCACTCACCTCGATGACCCCATCGGGCTCCATGCCTTCCGGGCCATTCTCTCTGTGAATGAGAAAATAAAGTTTAAGCCTTGCAAACTTGAATCGTTAACATTAACACATTTTAACATAAAATTATTTTTATTAAATATTGTCAATTCAAACAATCAAAGAAAATGTGGAGTCATGTTATAAATGTGACTGCATTGTTTAAGACATGGCTTTAAAAGAAAATTCCCTTTTAAATCCAATTATGGTCTCCACCCTTTTCCGCCACCAGATTACACAATACAGATTCTCCAGTCAATCAGACGATTGTGTTCCATGGTCACGCACACTTCAACCGACTAATTGCGACACATTTATTTTCTGTGCCGATAGATTATTTCTCTAAAACACAATGTTCGGCTGAATCCTCGTGATTGTACACAAACGCCTTTTCTCCAGTCCGCCATTTCTACTGCATTCACTCAAGATGGTCGTTTCTACTGTCGGGCTGAAAAAGTCGGAAGCCAGTCGACAGGAATGGCGGCCTAAACACGCAGAATAGCATTGTAGCTTAAAAAAAACTGACATATTTCTAGACTTTAACCAACTAGAATTAAAGATTGTTTGAAGAAAATGGTTCCAATGTCAAATGTACTATTGTAAAGAATAAAAGGCTCGGCTACCTCTAGCGCCAGGGCCGCAATAGCCACTGCCAACAGGCCCTGCGCCTCTTTATGTGGCCTTTTAATAGCTCGTAGCCAGTGAAACCCCTCTGATGTGCGTGTGACCACAAACAATTCATTTGTTTCACAAAGCTAACGCATATCACCTCGTTAGCATATGCTAACGGTTTAACCGGCCTACGCTACCGGCATTGTGCGCATCCCCTCGATTAGCGCTGCGGCGGCCATGTGCGCCCGTCGTATGAACGGAACAAATCTCTTTGCATTTGCTGCGGCAACAATGAGAGACGTTCACTATGTTAACACAAGCCGTTCATTACACCGTACTAATGTAAAATGTGTTAGTAACCATGATAGTGGAAACGGAAGCTTCTGGAATAGAAATTGAGGCCTAGACCAGACGCACTCACGTGCTACGCAAGGCGCCGGTTGCCATTTAATTTGCTTCAGCGACGTTCAGGACCAACAGCAAAAGCCATTATTAGTACCACCTAATAAACGTGAAACGATTTAGGGGGTAAAATAAACGTAAATAAGTGAGTTTTAACTCAAGTCGTCATATTGTTTTATTAAATATGAAGAGCTGTGACGTTAGTCCGAGGCAGGCTATCGTTAGGCCTAACCGTTGCCGAGCAAATAAACCGTAAGATGCTTCGTTTAACGTCTACATTCCACATAGTCGTCGATAAGAAAGACCAACACACCTACGTTAACAGATTAATCGTACTCTAAATTGTGAAATGCACACAAAACCATAAAATCGTTTCCTTACCTATTGTCATATTCAGCCGACATTATTCCAAAGAAAGAAACTGCGGCAGAGATGTGTTATATACGTTGACAACACACAAAGGGGCCTTCTCATTGCAACAGATCCCCGTCACTTAGCTATAAGCCCGCCCACGGACACTTTTGATTGGTTCAATTTTACGTCACATAGGGGTAGGCGGGTCGTAACGTCTTTAGTGGCGCATGATTTTCTCTGCGTTAGCAGGCCAGAGAGGCGGTGTTTATATGTTACGAAAAACTGTATGGGGCAAATCAAGCTGCTTCTCCCGCGATACGCTGTAGAACAAAGTTAAGGTTCCCCATTCCTAGACCAGCCATTCGTCAACGCAGACAAAAGGCCGTACCTAGGGTAGAATTATTTTTTGTTATCATCTGAACTATATTTCCTTACAAATAACTGACAAATCTTATGACCACTGAGATATGATGCAAAGTGTGAAACTGTCTGGATGAGTCAGTGTACTCATGTGTAGCATATTTAACACAACATGGAAAAAAGCTTGACTTATGACGTATGACTCGTACTGTCTGAAATAAGTATTTTATAGAATAAGTCCCTTGATACAGTTGTTTATAGTTGTAATTTATAGCATAATGAATGCCAATTCATGTTTGGCATGTATTGTGAATATGACAAGAACCAGGCTTTCAGGAATACTAAGTTCAAACTGTCCTTACCATGGACTGTTTATATAAGGGTCCATAGCAACATTATAGGCAAAATAAAAAACAAATGTAAATAATATCTTTGCTCATTGTAGCTTGTTATAATAAAGATTACATGTTCAGAGTACTGAATGATAAGTGTGATCTTAAGAACAGAATTTGAGTAATAGACTTCATTTGATACCACCATTTGTTTTTGTTTATGTTTTGGCCCATAAAGAAATTCCTTGTATGTTATAACATACTGCAATAGTACTGGATTTTGATTATGACGCCTATTTATTAGCATTAATAAAATGCACAGTCCAATTTTTGCCGCATATCTTTATTTTTAGCAACAATAATGCATTGTAGAAGATATATAAAACGTTCAACTCTGATGCATCATCTCCTGTTTGGAAAAACAAAAGAAAAAGAAAAACAGACACACCGCTATCAACAAAATCTTTCTTTCGTTATAAAAAAAAGAGGAGGGTGCTGTAACTCCATTGTGAACATACTGAATCTGTTGTGTTGCTGTCGTGGTCCTCACCAAAATGGCTGTCAAACTTTCAAAGAAATACTAACCAGAGGATCAGTTTTGTATTTACTTGGAAAATAACCTATTAGTAGTCCTCCTTTTTAACACCATTTGTTTAAAGCAATAAGCATATCAACACATTTACTGACAGATAAAACACAGAAAAATATAAATGCAATGTAAAGATGCCCCTTTCTCAGGGCCAATATGTCATTCTGGCTTCTATGGGCAACGATGCGGATCCAGTCTCCCACATTAAAGATGTTTTATTTAGGGTTGAGTGATGGCAGGGCAATTTTCCAGCACATGGGTTGAAATGTGGGCTGTTCCATGGATGTCAATTCTGATTTCCTTAAAAAAAAAAAATGCAATAGAGTAGCTCTTCATATGCTGTTTTCGGACATCAATATGGGAGCATCAATTAGCAAGTTCCATTGTCTCTTGAATTAAACTAAACATCGGAAATGTTACGCTGCATTACAAACGCTATGTGCTGACTAGATGGATAGAATTGTCAACATACCATTGGCTGTAGAGTGTGTTTCATGTTGGGTGTCAATGATTTGAACACAACATACTGTATGGACTGGATGGATGGAAGGCATGTACATCCACAAGTACTAATTAACCACAAGCTTACACAGACTGGTTCAATTCGTTCTGCCCTCCACACAAAAGTGAAAGTAGTAGTCAGGTTGGACTTCAACCGTTTATATCTGGACTGTACGCCATTGAAATCTTCTCGATAAAACAACGGTGGTCTACAATGGGATGGAAGATTAGCACATTCCCAAAACGGAAGCTAGTCTTGGCCTCTGTCAACCACAAAGGAATAACCATGACACGGAAATTAAAACATTTATCAAAGGGTGGGGAGAGAGGGAAGCAAAGGGAGCCAAAAAGTGAAACAATGACACCACCTACAATAGAAGAAAGAAGTCATTTCTCTGGATGTTGAGAAAAATAGTTTTTGTTCTCTTTCCCAGTCAATCGTTTGCTCCCCTTGCCCTCGGTCTTGTCGTATCACTGTCCCTCCATCTTGTTAAAGGAGCAGGTGGAGATGGCGGGCGGGCGGCGGGTCACAGGGTGAGCTTGCAGTGACAGAGTTCTTTGTACATTTGCCTCCTCAGCCTGGGCATATCCAGCTGGCCGAAGCTGAACGGCTGCCCTAGTGCCAGACACTTGCAGTACTGTAGGACGGTGGGGGGCACATGAGGAGAAACATAGCAAGTTATTAGCGTGTAGCAACGACACAAGTAAGAAGTGTGCGTTCCTACAGTGAAGATCAACAGGCTCCATGTAGTAGGTGTGGGACATGCGGTCTAAAAAAAAAATCCCATGAATGACCAAGACAGTTGGTCTTCGGAGATGTAAACCCACCCGATCGGTCTTTAAACACATCCTTTATTCCCCATGCATTGTGGCTGTGATTTCATATCATGTTAAAGCGTTGATTGTTATACGCAGTCAAAAACAAGTTTCTCTGCAAGATTAAACTCAATGCAAAATACAAGGAAACGTGACGCAATAAGAGATCAACACAAGAAAATAAATGAAATGTCAAATACAATATACAGATTCATAGAGCCTGTGTTTGCCTTGTGTATCTATGTGTGTATATAGTGCATTAGGGTGGGTTCAGTGGGTAATATTTGCATATCTAATCTACCAAAATGTTGCAGATTACAGTGTTAATAAATGCTTGAAACATAAATATAGATTTAAGCTTATCTTTTTATTCTCTCAAAGTGCAGCAGATTGATGCATTTCCTTTAGGGCAATCTGAATTCCCACCCTAAGAACCTTTGTGACGCTCCAACTGATTTGAAATGGCTTGCCTCTCAAAATTCCCAGCAATTGTATTAATTGGTTCATTTAAATTCGCTTTGCATTTTTTCCTCACAATGTCATTATTAGCAGGCTACGCGAACAATATCTTGTTTTTATTTATTTCATTGAATTACTGTCAGTCCTGCACAACCCTTTGAATATTTAGCACACTTATATACAAATCTACCTCTTGTAATATCTGCACAGCTTTCCACCTCTCATACAGATACTGCATATATTTTTATTTTATTAAATAGAGTATTTTGTCATATTTTATTGTATGTAGTTTTTAGTATATCTATATTTCATGTTGATATAATGTTAAAATACACTTACAATTTATCTTAAACTGTGTTTATGTATGCACCATACACCAAGGCTAATTCCTTGTATGTGTAAACTTACTTGGCAATAAACAAGTTTCTGATTAGCTGGAACTAATGTGTTTTCATTTAAGATAAACACATTTAAATGAAAACATTTAAAAAGTATGCCTTTTTTTATTGAAGGACTAATATTATAACACTGCAAATTAAATCGTTATACTAGCCTACAATTGTAGTCTGTGATTTATTTATGGTAATTCTTAACTAATCAAGGTGCAAATAAGTTGGACAGCCCTGCTATGGGGGATGTGAGCTTTACCCAGCATAGTCTTCCATTAATCTGCACATGGACAATAACATGAGACTCACCTGTAGCACAAAAGCACCGCAGTCGCTGTCGTTGTTTTGACGACCCACATTCTGAAACAAACAATCCACAAAACATGAGCAACTCGCAGGACAATAGTTCAAGTACATAACAAAGCCATGGTAATGTGTGAGTGGCTGGCAGCGGCTCAGCCCACACAGAAAGAGCTTTGTGGAACTAGTAACCTGAAGCCGTGTCAAAAAGGAGAAAAATTCATCAGAAACAGAGCTCACCATTTTGAAAAAGCCCTTCCATCCCGTCAAAAAGTCTTGCTGGTCTTTTTTGATGGCCTCCGCTTGCAGATACTTAAAAATGTGCTGTAAACAAAAACAGAAAGACTTGAGACAAACTCTAGTCACAGACTTGTTTTATTAAGGAAGTCTTTATTGCCTTCCATAACAAGAGAGCCCACTATAAATAGAATTGATTGATTTAACCAGTGGAAAAGTTCAAATGGAAAACATTTTCAGTAAAAGAAGCATTGAGGGTCTCCAATGGCTTTTAGATATATTTTTTCAGAATAATCTACTACTAGGCGCCTGGGTTTGCTAAGTGGTCCTACCTTTGGGCAGCGTCTGTTGAGAGTCCGCTGAGAGTCAAAGTAAGTGATGGCTCGGCGAGGAATGTCCACACTGACCAGAGACCAATGGACCTCCAGGTGGATGGGGATCAGCAGCAGGTCCTTCTGAAAGATGTCAACCTGACAGGGAGGAGAGGAGGGAGAACTGATGTAAATACTACTGTGAATGGAATATATCCATACTTTGAAACGTTTGAACAAAGATGGTTAACCACTGAGAATATCGAGGCAGTACGATAAGCGTGTTGTCATTTCAGGGTCTCCTGTGTGTCTGTGTTGCTGCATGTTTGTGAAACTGATAGCTTATATTAGCTTAACTTACAGTGATGCAAACACAGGTATGGTGAAAAAAGAGAGAACTATTCGAAGCAGAAAAAAACAGCGTAATATACCATCTGACAAAGGCCTGTGCTATAATGCTTCAATTAACTGGCTATTCTTTATAATATACTCAGATCAATAGGAGACAGAGATGTTAAGTTTTAAATCAAGGGTTTTTATTATTATTTACAGCAGGGGTGGGGAACCTTTTTCCTTTACATTTTTACAACATCCTCCGAGGGTCGTACAAATGATTGAACTCAACCTCTGCTTAAAAAAACTAAAATCACAGCCCATTCATTTGGCCTTTCTTTCATGCTGTGCAAAGAAAAAGCAACCTCTTAATCCAGATATGCATATATATATATATATGTACATGACTCGCGCATGCATGCATGTGCACGGTTGTAGCATGACCACCAAAACAGAAAGATA